AAGCAACGCACTCGTTGCAGTCGTTTTTGTTATTTATAAGGCAAGTGGGGCACTCCCACGTGTTGGCTTTCGGCTTAAAAGCCTCACCGAATGAGTTTGACTTCCCATTACTTACCGCCAAATCGGTAGACGGTGTCGCGCCTTTACGTGGTGTCTCACAGGCAACACACTTATCAACCTGTTGTTTATTTCGTATCATACAAACATCACAATCCCATTGATCGGAGGATTTTTTAAACTGTGTGCCAAAGTTTGAAGAGCCGGTGGCATTAGCTGTTGCCAAAACTGGGATTACAGTCTGCGGTGTGGGTACTAATTTAATGCGCGGCATCTCGCATGCGGCGCATTTATCTACATTGTTCTCATTGTGAATTAAACATGTTTGGCATTCCCATTTGTTGCTAGTAGCCTTCTTAAATTCATCACCAAAACCAGCATGTTCCTCAGTGCCTTTTTTGGTCGTTGCATTTTCTTTCGGTGTTGATGGTATGGCTAGGGGTAACTTTAGTGCGTCCAGAACACTTCCACTTCTTAGTTGCGGAGTCACATTGTTACCACTTTGTACTTTACGTTGAGTAGGTGATGAGCCATCAACATCTAAGTCTCTAGAGCACACTGCAGTGGGTGGACTAAATTTATAGTTTTTACTAAAATTGATATTTTGTTGTGTAGAAGCATTAGGGTTAACGCATGCGAAAGTAAGTGGCGCAGAAAACTTGAAATTCAATTTATCTATAGCGACTGATTTCTTATTCGTTTCATTCGAATTGCCGCCCGCAGTGTTCTTTAAGGGTTCAGAGGTGGATAATTTTTGACTGTCTGTATTAAAATTAAATGAAGTTTTGTTGGCGAAAATGTTACTGCTGTTACTATTACTGATGGTCGGCATTCCTTCGCCAGCATACTTTGATTTAGACATGATTTCAGAGTTTGAGTAGTCGGGCTTGTTAATTGCTTTCGGTGCAACGGTTCGTGGGTTAGGAATAGCTATGTCAAATTTTGGCACAGATTGCATAAGCGGAAATGTTATATTGGGCAAGTTAACTGGTGGTGGTGACTCACCAGCTTCAAGATTGGTAGCGTTCTTTGAAGCAGTAATACGGGCAGAGCTTCGCCCTTTGCTTTTAATTTTATTTGTGTGCGGCTGTTGGTGACGAGTTTCAGAATCATCCTTATTAGCTATATAATTTTCATTCGCCATGGGTAGTGTATATTCCTCGCCTCCGACAATAGCACTCGTGGTAAGTGAACTACTTTGCATAGCTATTTGTCGGGATCGTTCGGTAGTACTTTGCATCTTTTTCATCTGTAATAACTGCGACATTGAAGGTACTTGCAATTCTTGTACAGGTGGTAGCAAAGTTGAATTTCTGATTGTTGGCTGAAGGGTTACGGCGGGTCGTGCGTAGGGTGTACGCACTTGCGATAGTCGTATCGCACGCGAGGCCTGAAGGTCGACTTCGTTTAAACGTGATTTAGCTTGGGTTAGAAGTTGTGTATGCGCTTTAACGTTTGTGTTGGCCATTTTCTTAGCTTCACTCAAGGGAGTAGCAAAATCATTTATTAAATCCAATATTCGCTTAGCAGTACTGGAAATAGCTGAAGTGTTTTCGGATCCATTGTTGCCAATTGCGTTTGTTCCACCGCTATTTGCCGCAATTGAGTTATTTGAGGATGAGAGTGTCGATAAGCTCGATGTGGGACGTATAATTGTTGGTGTTAGATTGCAAATCCTGCTTGCCCCGGTCGCACCGCTATATTTTTTGTAGGCCGCAGCACCGCCATATGTAGTTTTCCCTTTGTAGAAAGGCGAAAATGTGTTTAACAATCTACTGTCACTCAACGCCGATGTGCTGCCATAGATTGAAGCGTTGAATTGACGTCTGTTCAGCGATGTCAGTGATAATGTTGAGTTATTTAGGGCATTTGTTGAATCACCAGTATTCGCCCCCCTAGAAAATAGGGATTTACGCCCTTCTAAATGCGAATAAAAATTTATGCCATTTCCAAATGACGAAGTTCGACTCTTTTTTCCATTTTGATAGTTTAGATTAGACATATTAAATAAACCTGTTTTACGTTGTCCCACACTTATGTTGTTGGGTAATTCAGATATATTGCCTATGCACCCTTCACTACTTTCGGAGACAGAATCGGCATCTGCATTGCTACCCTCGGCATCATCCGTGCCATTAAATTTCTGTTTTTTACTACATGTAAATGGCTTAGTATTTCCATTTAAGTTGAAGCGTGATTTTTCATCTAGCTGAAGATTCCTCTCTTGGCTGATAAGCGCTTCTTCTTCATCTCTTTCATAGACTTCTCCCTCAATAATGGTTGCCGAAGCACTCATTGAAGGGTGTTCCACAGATAAATTATTTATATCTCTGTTACCCACAACTGATTGCCGTTGAAAAGTGGAAAAATCCATTGACAGAGCACGATCCTTCGACGCTTGAGACGTTGAGGGTAGATGTAACGTACGTCTTGCGCTATAAGGTAAAAAAAAAAAATTAAAAATAGTTGAATGATTGACAATTAGCCCTGAACTACAGATATATAACCGAAAATTATATCAGGGAATAGTGAAGTAACAGTTCTTGGGTCAGGAATTGAGCCATGCTCCTCTAATTAAGAACGTAGCGGTACACAATAAAGGTTTAGGCATAAATCCAAATTTTTGCTACTGAGCTGATTCGTTTTTAAAAAATATTCCATTGATATTTTTAACCTGAATTCCGTTTACTATATAATCATACACATTTTAACTTTATAAATTTTTGACACTTTTCTTAAAACTAAATCAGGTTTAAATGTTTTTCAATTATAGACAATAAAAACAAAACTTCGCGTGAAAAAGGGTTATCCAAATTAATTCAAAATGTTGGTTGTTAAAATTTGTTTTTGTTTTGCTTTATAATTTTTGGGAATACTTGTTCACATGAATATGAAATTCGCGATAGAGCCGATTAAAGAGTAAGATTAACTATACCCTTTGAAATGTTTGTTATAAGATGGGCCAAATCCTCGTTTATACATACATAAGCCGTTTATTTTGAAAGTATCCACTCTGGTGTAGTGGTTAGAAGTGTGCGCAACCATTCTGCTGGGTCTGTGATGCCCAGTTTCCGAGCAACATTTAAAACAAAAGAAAAGAAAAGTATTTTTGCTAATAGCGGCCGCTCCTCGGCAAGGTAGTGGCAAACCTCCAAATATATTTCTGCCATGAAAAACAGCTTCTCATAAAAATGCAATCGCCATTCGGATTAGGGTAGAAATGCAGGTCCCTCCCCTTAGAGTGAAAACATCAACGCGCACGCCACAAATCGGAGGAGAAAATGGGCCAAACACTAACATATTGGGCCATTTGCATAAAAGCTAAGCGACTGCGATTTGTTCCAATAAAGTTAAGTGAAAGGCATGAAATTTTACGAAAAAGCTATTGCTTATATAATATATATATAGTTATATATTATAATTATAAGTATTTAAGTAATTTTAAGTAAGAGGTGAAAAGATTGAACAATTGAAAACACAATTGAAGATAATAATAATAATAGATTGGCGCTTACACATATGCTAGTGTTTGGCCGAGCTTCTCCTCCGATTTGTGGCGTGCGCCTTGATGTTGTCGCATAAAGCGGAGGGACCTACAGTTTTACGCCGACTCCGAACGGCAATTGTATTTTTACGAGAAGCTGTTTTTCATGGCAGAAATACACTCGAAGGTTTGCCATTGCTTGCCAAGGGACGACCGCTGTTAAGAAAAAACCTTTTTTCTATATTATTTTGCGAAGTTGCTTTGGCCAGGTGTTGCGGAGTGGAAGCGCGCATAGTTAAGCTATAAATGAGCGGATGGGAAGCTAGGCTTTTCTAACCGCCACGGTAGCGCGACTTGGCGGATCTCTGCCCTCAAGACACTTAGGAGGCAAAAAAAAAGTTCAAGTTTATTTAAATTTATTGCTTTATTCATAAATAATAAGGTTTTAAAAGCTTTATAAGGTAACATTTTCATAGAAATTTTCGATTTATAAAGCAGTTAAAGTCTTATTTATTTTTTATGAATTTGGGTGTTAATTTTTAGTTACAAATCTTCATTACAATATATGTATAACGGACTGTAAAAAATAAATGCAGTATACAAGTATTTTTAAGCAAAAAACACATATACAAATTTAGGAGTACCGTTAATTTTTTCATGATCCAATGACCGGATCTAAATCAAATTAATATGGGACCACCTGTGAGACACTACCTTTCCGACATCGACTGACGTCGTCCAAAGTTATGCGGTAACATACATGCATACATAGAAAAAAAATAAAAATACATTCCGACGAATTTACCCAGTAGCGAAAATGGTCACCGGTGACATCGTTGCACTTGCTGTGAATCCTAAACGACATATAGCTGCTAATGACACTGGTGACAATGTCATGCAGGTGTACTCCTATCAAAGACATCAACGACGAAATAACCATTTATATGAAAAAGTCATGAACGACTTCCATGTAAACGTAGCCCAAAGTCATTTAAGACGTAACTTTTCCGTACAAGCCACTTAAGTGACTAATGCATGACATTCGCTACGGGGCAAAACCTTCTCCTTTTTACGAAGTTGGTTAAAAAAATAAAATATGGAGCTCCGTATATCGTTACCATCAATTCAAAATAATAAATTTTCCTAGCCAGATGCCAATAAATTCCATGCTTTTTAGAAATGAAAAGTTTTGACCTTAATGTTATTGATACACATATTATATTTCTGAACTTTTTAAAGTTTTGCGTTGTCTTGAAAGCTGGTGTCCCATTACAGAAGGAAAATGAGGAAGGCTTGTAGAAGGCGGCCAGCAAAGATGTGTGGTTCATAATAAATATGATTTTTTAATAAAATACAAAATTCTAAAGGCAAGATTTTTTTTTTTGCGTAAGACTTTATCCATATAGGGATGGTCTGAAGTAAAAAAGAAGATGGCTAATAAATACCTTATAGCAATGTTATCCAAATGTTTTTCATTAGTAATCTTCCTATTCGCATAGTTTTCCTGTGGTTTGCCATCCGTGACTTGGCCTGAAATAAAGCCATATGTTACCGGTTCATCCACATTCTTTTGATTATACGTATTAGGCTCCAGAAAATACGAGGACGAATTTGGAGGTTTACTTATAGCATCTTCTACTAACGAAGTTGAATGGCTATTGATGTTTCGACGACAGACGCCAACCGCAGGAGTAGAAGCTATTAAGGACTGGTGATTAACGTTTGAGCTCTATATAATTAAATAAAAAAAGATAATTCAATGTAGGAAGATAGCGGCTACTATATTCCTTACATCGTAACTAATACGTGATCGTTTACTAGGTGGTTGATTAAAAAACCCCGATGACCTGTTTGAGCGATGCGTCCTCAGAGTTGACAGATTGGGATCTTTTGGCGAACCGTCTTCGCTATTGTTGTCGCTTTCGTCTTCATCTGAATCCTTATTGACTTTATCGCTTGTCAAGTTTTCTTTATACCCGCCGAGGGAATGCGCTCCATCTTCGTTAATATTACCGTCATCAACATATTCATCATCGTCATCGCTCTCTAAACGTCGACGACGGCGTGCTGTACCTACAGTGAAGCTTCCATTTAAGGAATCATTATTTCGTGTCGATGGTGAAAACCATTTAGAAAAACGGCTAGGTATTATGCTAGACACTCGTGATTTAACTTTTCCTATAATAGACTGAAAGGACAGTGACAGCATTGTTGTTTTATTAGAACGTGATATGTCTAAATTTTGTTAAGGAATTTTATATTTGAAAGAAAACTCTACAGTAATAAGCTACATGCAAATAACATGTACATGGAAAGACTTGAATAAATACAAGAAAAACATATTTGAACAAACACAAATTTCATCGTATTTGGTGTATGTACTGTACTCACATTATCTGCTGAGCCCGCGAGATCCTCAAAGGTGTCATCGTCATCATTGCTGCCGTCAGTTTTCATAGTTTGCAGCGATATTTCGTTCCTTCCCCCAACGTTGCGATTAGCATCGTGTTCCGTTGACATTGTTAGGACACTTACAACAGCGGGAGTCCACTATTTTTGATTAAAAAATATGTTTGCAGAAGCCACGATTCCAATGCATTAACATACACATGCATTCAACTCGATTCACACAAATACCCTCAAGTAGCGTAAGTCAAAAAAATTGCAAGCCTTATTGCATTGATCACCTGAGATCAATGTATTTGACTATGACTTCACGCTTACTTTTTAAATGATTTGATAATAAAAAAAGTGCACAATTCTCAGAACGAAAGTTTTTTATTATAATCAGTCCGTACTGAACTAAAAAATTTTGGCTTTCATGGCCTCGAGTCGCCTCCGACGACAGCGCTGCCCCTGCGGCACGTTACTTCCACTCTTTCTCTGTCACCAAAGCTTGCTTTCTCACTCGCTCACACATACGACTTATTAGCTTACTACTATTTTTCTCTTTTTCTCAAGCACATTCCAACCGAATTTTCCCTCTGTCGTTTTTAACGTTGTGGCTGTCAATCACAATCGACTTTTGCCATTAATTCATTTCAATCAGTGCGAAATTATCATTTACTTTTATTCATATTTTCCACTTACACATTCGAAAAATCGCTCACTTGGAACTTGTGTATTTGGTTAAGTTAGTGCTGAAAATTTTACAATAATTTATGAGCCAGAAGATTCACTGAAAAATATATTTTTCACACTTTTCGCAGACCACGATGAAAGAAACAACGATGTGAAGAAACGCGTGAGAACGAACGAACGAGAATTAACGAACAAGCAACGACCTATCAAGCTCGTCGTGCAAATTAAACGATTCGGTAAGTTTTTTAACGAAATTTAATGGCGCTGTCGACACAGAGTTGCAGTAAACCGCTAACAATTAAAAATTACGTTTGGACAATTGTCCATGATTAAATGAATCTGCATTTGTAGCAGATGATGCGTGACACTTTCGGGGCAAATTCTCGTTGTTTTAGAGAATAAAGGCCTACGAAAAATTTGGCAAGTTAACTGGCCGTCTTCACGTGCTTAAAAATCTAGCCTCTTTGTTTGGCGATATTTTACCAGCCGTCTTCACCTGCTTGAAGGGGGTTCGAGCCTTGCCACGGCCGATAGTATACAAGATTGCGCTGATTGATGTGAAATTCGGGAGAGTAACGTGAATATGACGTCATCGCCAAAACAATTGTACATCGTCAAGGCAACAACTTAAAATTCTCGCCTCGTTCTTGCACACATATTTGTAATACCTGCAGTAAAATCTTAGTGGCTATTTCTTAACGAAATCCCAAAGTACGGGAACAGACTAACTGTGATCAGCTGTTGTGTATTATTGCAACTTGCTTTCAAGTTCTTCCCCGTTGCGAATGTCATGCATTCGTCACTTAAGTATCTAGTACGGCTGTGTTAAAGGTCTGATTATTCGCATAAATTCGCACAACCATTTGTAGCAGTGTCTAAAAGTATAACTTAAGAAAATGTGAAGCAAAATCTAAACTCAACAGATCGCTAAGTTTTCAAAAGTTCTGCTTATTTCTGAGTAACTGCCATCCCTAAATTGGCGCGTCAAGCGTCAAGCAACTGTCAAAAATCCTCATGCCTATACAATTTGTATGAAGCATCCCACAATAACGCGGCGCTAACGCCGAGCAAATGGAATTTTCATTTTTGACAGGGCGTTACGTGTTGAAGTTGGATGCAGAAGACGGAAAGAAAGAGAAGGGACAAAAAAGTGAAAGAGGAAACAAGAATAAAAACGAGAGGACCTGAGAAAACGTCAAAAAATGCGACGCGTTGATTTGGGGATACCGCGCGCTGACACTCGTTGACAATGGATAACGCAACGCTGAGCACTCCAATTTAGGGACGGCAGTAATGGAATACATACAAAGTACATACGAAATTACAGTTTGAAGTTTATGCGAAGTTGTGCGAAGTTATGCGAAGTATGCATAGTTAGACCATAAGTCTTCAATGACTTTAGGCTCCGTTTAAATGGAAGTCGTTCATGACTTTTTCCTACAAATGGTAGTTTAGTCGTTGATGGCCTCTGCATGACTTTGTCATTCAGGATGTCAAAACGAAAGAAAATAGGAGATAATTTTCGCCATTTAGTTATATTGACATCCTGAAGTTATGCCGTTTCGTCTTGGATGACATTCCAGTGTAGAGACAAAAATATCAAATCAGCTGTTCTAGTAACACCACCTTGTATAGGTGCGCCTTGACAGTGACGAAGCCCTGCAGAAAGTCTGACGAGCTCAGAACTTGCCCATGATGCAATAATACAAGGTGGTATAAGTTGGGAAAGCTTCATTTCACACTGCCTTAGCCCAGTAGAATGAGAAGACAAACGGGAAGAAATTAATCCCCATTTGGAGGAAAAATATAAAATTTCACATTTTCTCCTAAACAAAATTTGTTTTTTTTTTTATAGTATATTCGTAATGAAATGAAATAAAATAAGATAAAATACCTTTTTAAGAAAACAAAATGTGTATACTGACAAAAAATAAAAAACATTCAACTATATTATTAGGCAAAGAATTGTTAAAGAAGTAACACTGTTTCACCTAAGGCAGTAAATATGGCGGAATTAGAGTGAGAATTTGCCAACCGATAACACCTTGTAGCATCATGGAACTTGCCGACAGTACCAGTTCCAGCCCAATACCCCAGCAACCCCCCATACCCCCAGTGAATTCCTTTGCAACTAGTTTTTAACCGGTTCCGTTTTGGACAGGCTTTTTTTATAAGAAAACGTTTTTAAGACTCGATTTTGGATATTTTTTTCGTTTTTTCTTTTCTTTTACAGATTCCATTTTTTTTAGATATTTTATTAAAAAAAAAAAATTATTGTAAGCTGCACGCAACAATTTAAATTCATTAAACTTGAATACTCACAACTGCCTCCACCGCGATTTGTACTCGCGACCAACGATGCTTTACTCGGAAGTCTTCTCGCTGAGCTACTTTCGTATTGGTCGAGTAGTGAGCATTTGCGCATTTACACCGGAAGTTTCAACTGTCCCACTCTGCATCCGTTTTGCACTAGTTCAGAGATAGTTCTGATATATGTAGTTCGGAACTAGCGCTTTATCAGACTGTCTAAATTTTACTGCAGGTAGACAATGAGCGAAGTCTGAATATTCTATGTAAACCCCAATTAAATAAAATTTGTGAAATATCAGAATATATGAAAGCCCGAAACTGTGTCTTTCTATATAGGGCCAGTTTTTCAGTGCACGGCCTCAGTTTAAACTCAGTTTAAACGCCCGATTTGGCTGGTTTAAACTAAGATCAGCCAATCAAATGTCAGCTAATTGTTCAATTTAAACTCAGTTCACTTAATCTAAGTTTGAAGGTCCAATCAGTTCGTTGACGGCGGGCTTCAGTCTTTCACACAATGCACTCGATAACACCTTGTAACCTATGGTTAAAACGCTGATCACGCGGTAGTTGACGCGGATGGCGAGATCGCCACACACATATTCGATAGAGAACATTCCGAAGAGCATTTCCCAATCCTTCTAACCTTTCTAGCTCGCACAGCGAACAATAAAACAATTTTCGTTCTCTAGAGAGATTGTGCCGGGTTTAAGTAAATATTAGCTCTGATCGAATACTTTTCATGTAAAATCCTGTAAAAATATCAAACAGCAAAATTACTCTCTGAAGTTAGAGTAAAAAGAGACTAACAACAAAACGTACGGGAAAAAAAAAGAATTTTTCTTGTAACAACGTCAACCAGTGATCGCTCGACACTTTTCATGATTTTACCTGAAGAAAAAGTTCGGGTAAAATCTTGCATATTCATTCTCTACACAATTCTCCAAAAATCGTTCTCATTTTGCTTGGGTTTAGATTTGGATCAAGCAGGTAAGAACACATGCTTTTGAAATATTTCAATATATATTTTAGTGATAAGGCTTTGTTTTATTACCGTTTGAAAACGTCGTTTTAAATTTTTTGAATATACATATATGTATGTGTGTAGTATACCATAATTTTACATTTCGTCGCCTGGATAAAAGATTGTCGTATGTTGATTCCGAAAGGTTGTGAGAAATCGCGATTGAAGTTTGGAATGCAATTTCTCAAAAACGCGAGGATAGAATTTCTCCAAAGTCTCTGAAAATGTTACTAGTTCACAAAATTCTTAAATTATTTAATTTTTAATAATGGAGAACGCCATTTTAAAGATATTGATTAGTTTAATATGGCTGCTCTACTAACTAAATTTTTACTAAATTATCGCAAAAATGTAGTCAATATCTCGGAAACTAAAGGAGATAGCTAAAAACAGATAACACCAATCGAAAGACCATATTTCAAAATATATAACTGCATCTATAACTAAAAATCGTCAAAATTGCGCTTACGACAATCTTTTATCCAGGCGACGATTTGAAAAGGTTTTTGATTTACTTCCGGTTTCTGTCGGCATATAATTTTAATTTAAAATGAGAGGTTAAAGATTAAACAACAAAATCAAATCATCAGCTCAGTGCCGCCACTCTTTGAACTAGGGACTACAAATCAAGACAGTGGAAAAATAGATAACGTATTTTTAAATCTCACATTATCGTATCGTGAAAATCTTTTGTTTCAGTATTACCTGGCGAGAATGATCAGAACGTTAAAGAACCATGGCACTCATCATCATCTTAGATCATCTTAGTGCTAAAAAGTACAAAAACTCTATTTTCAGAGAAAATAAATGTCGTCATAAATAAAAAAAAATTGTTTTGTTGCATTTTTTTACCCAAAAATTTTAGTCGTTTTCCATTGGAAAAAATTCCATTGGCACAAAGTCAAACAAGGAGTTTTAAGAAGTAATAAAAACTAAGTAGTTAATTTTGACCGGCTAGGTCGGGAGAATATCCCTATGTGCGCCGCCGTACTTGAATAGCTCGGCTGGCAGGCCGTCAGCTCCAGTACCTCTGTTGTTTTTCAGCCGCGTAAGCGCTATTCGTAACTTGTCATAGTCAGGCAGTGGGACTTCGCCTCCATTCTCATCAACTGGGGCTTAGGTTCTTCTTTTCCACTACTTTCAGTGCCATTCCATAGGGTGGTAAAGTGTTTCCTTCATAACTTAAGTACATTCGGTCAAAGTATTGAAAACTTCCGTAAGTTGCCTAACTCTCTGATACATTTTCGGGATTTTTTTCTGTCTGCCAGAATTTATTGCTGCAAATACGTCTCGCTACCATCTTCAGTTCCCTATAACGGTCCCACATGGCTCGCGTTGCACCCGATCGCATTGTAGGCGGATGTGTTTTCTCTGCAGCTTCTTGACACTCCTCATCGTACCAGTTGCTGAAATCTGACTACTTCTTCGGTGGCGGTACTTAATGAGCGGAAAATGTGGTTCCACTGCTCGCGTATATCAGTTTGTTGAAGAGTGCTCTCAGAGAGCAAGTGTGGGAGTCGAATGGCGAATAGATTGGCCGTCTCTTGTGATTGCGGTATTTCGACGTTAAGCTTTTCTTGCATTGTTGGGCGCAAATTTTTTGCCTCAGTCCGTTATCAGACGTTTTGTCGTGGAGGCTGAATTTTCCGACAGTGGCGCCAAAGATCCCTTCCTTGTCCAGCTTGGCACTGAAATCGCCAAATATGATTTTCATGTCGTGTCGGGGGCAGCGCTCACATGTTCGCTCATAGAAGATATCCTCCGGGCATTTGTATAGATGAGCGAGACGTTGAAGAATCTCGCTTCGATGCGGATTGTAGCTAGACGTTCGTCCACCGGGGTGAACGCCAGAACTCGGC